CGTGGTTGTCCCTGAACTCCTCAGCATTCCTCCGCATCACGAACTGGGCCGAGGCAGGCGAGCATACCGCTCCGAACGTCATCGCCTTCATTTGGTACGCGTCCGGCTCTCTGTCACGTTTCATGCCTCGCCAAAGGAAGCGTTGGGATGGTTGATCTTCTTCCCGAATCTGTACCTGGTGGAACATCTGCTGTATATCGCCGCCGAAGGCAATACGGTGCTCCCTGAACTTGAATAGAACGCCGGTGAGAGAATTCAGCAGATCCGGACCCGGAACCAGGGCGTCGTTTAGGCTCATGCCGTTGCTTGAGGCTGCCGCGTCGAAGACTAGTCGCAGCTTCACAAAGTGCGGCTGGTACCACTTGCGCTCGTGGAATGCTGTCTTCTCTTCTGGTGTCAGCTTGAAGGCATAACCGGCAGCCAGGTACTGTTCGATCTTACTGCAGTACGCGTCAGCGATTACTTGATCCCTGTCCATCTTTCGCTCGATGGAGAACAGCCGCCGGAGGGCCATGGGCTTGCCCTCTGGTAGGAGTATGCCACTTTCTCTCCACAGGAGTCCGGTGTCCCAGCGGTCTCCGACTCGTCTGGTGGTCGATTCCATGATCCCCTCAGCTCGCGCTTCCTGTCGGGACCGGATCTTAGTGCTGGTGACCTTGACACCAAATGAGTCTGTGGTGAAGAAAGACTTGACGAGCAGATGTAGGTCGTCATCGAAGCAGCCATCTTTGATTTGCGCTGACAGGCTGCTGTGGGCGTTTTCGGTGCTGAGGTCATCGACTCTGCCGTGGATTGCCCAGCCTAGCTTGCACCGCGTGGCTACCGGCGATCCGGGCGGTCCCTCGACCCACTCTCGGGGCATGATCAGGTCACAATTGTCCTGCCCGATGAGCATTCTGGGCTTCTGCATATCCTCCACTGTCAGATCAGCGTCTCGGAGGTGTTTCCAGTGCTGGCAGGTGCTGTTGACGTCGAGGTCTTGCTTGGGTAGATCCAGTGTAACGGTTCGTACATCGCTCAGGTAGAACTCCTGCCCGCTTCCGAACACCGAAACCTCCACCTTCCTGGAGTTGTTGTCAGTCTGGCTGGTGTCGTCCGTCCAGGTCAGTGTCAGCGGGCAGTGCGTCCCCTTGGCGCCGATCTCCGTGGCTAGGCTAGCGTCAAGCAACGTGACTGTAGATGCTTCGTCGAGCAGAGCGAACGTGTGTACCGTCCCCTTCGTGCCTGTGACGTTGATGGGTACTGTGCGCAGCATCACCCTCCCACTGGTAGGTCGTCGAGTTGCGTTGCACGGCGCTGGCTGGTCCCCGTCCTCTCCTGCGTGCTCGGTTGCGGCAGATGGAGGAGTCGGTGGTGTAGCCTTTCGCACCCGTCACGTCCGCACCGTGCTTTCTTCGGGCAGTCCCTGACTTGGTGTCCACAGCCAAAACAGACGAAGCAGCGGTTCTCATTCTTGATCCACTTCCACCTGTCCTTGACTAGGGCCTTCTTCAAGGTGTTGCAGTTGGCAGCGGAGTGCCCGGCGTTCTTGCAGAAACCACATTGTTCTTCTCGTGCGGTGAAGGTGTTCCCACGGAGGCCGCCTGGTCGCTTGCCGATTGGCGGCTTTTCAGCTCTGTCAGTGGCGGTGAGTCTTCTGACGTGGCTGATAGCGTCCGCTCGTTGTGATAGCCATTCGGAGAGTGTTGCCAGGGTCACTCCGGTCTGTTGGGTATGGACGAACTCCCCCCATTGCCGCTTCAGGCTGTTGGGAAGTTTCATGATCACTTCCTGCCGCAGGGTGGGATTTGTGAGATGTCCGGTATCGTTCATGAGCTGCATTGTTGCGACGAGGTTGCCGACCGCATTTGCCGTGTCGATGAGGGCCTCGAATTCCTCTTCTCCAGCTGGCTTCAGTTTCTTGACGCCGTCAATTATGGTCTGTATCACCTGCTCTGGCTGCCCGAACCGCATTTCCAGAGTCTGCATGACACGATCGACGTTATCAGGTACGACGAGCATGGCTTTGACGGTGTCCTTAACCTTCCCTTTGAGGGCTTTCTGTAGCCTGGCCATATTCTCCGCATTGGAGAATTTGCATTCACTCGTCGATGACGAGAACATATGGCGGAACATCGGCCAGGACGCCGGGTCGCCGTTAAACTCTGGGAGGTCCTTTGCGGTGGACTGTCGGGCGACTATCTTGTGAAAGTCGCTGCCAGTATCTTGGGAGCCATGTCTCTGCGTGGCTGTCGTCAGGTGTCCGGCCAAGGCTTCCGCAAGCTGACTGACAGCTGTCACCACTGAAGTCTGAGCGGCCTGGGCCGGGGTGTGCTCTTCATCTGAGATTGGTTGGTCCCTAGCGCGTGCTGCGGGCGGCAGGTGTTGTGTCGGCTCAGCCTTGTCGCCAAGGGACTCCACATCCTCAGTATCTTTCGGGACGGGTTGGTGGTACTCAGCTGGAGTCCGGCGGTGGTATGACGATGACTTGTCCACAGACCTCGCTCCCCTGAGTTCTGCAGGTCGAGGCTCGTACTCGTGGACAGCGTGGAATCGAGCATCGTTACCAGGACTACTCGTGTCAGTCACGGTATCACGTCTCTGTTCGACTGCCCGGTCTGCAGGGCTACCTCGCGCTGCGCATTCCTCTAAGAACAGCTGGCGCCACTGGTCAGCTTTCCTTTGCTGCTGCTCCGCAGATTGCCTGGCTTGACTCAGGAGCTCACGTAGGTGATCCTTGTCACCCTCCGCACGCGCAGCCTGCTCCTCGATCTCCTGGAGTTCTTCGCGTGACCGCTGTCTCTGGCAGGCCATCGCCTCGAACTCTACCTTGCGCTGCTCCGATACGCGCTTCATCTCGTCGAGTTCAGCCCGCAGTTCGGTGTTGCAATCATACAGGTCGCTGTTCTCAGCTTGAGCTGTGCTCTTGTGGAGGTCTAGCTCGCGACGTGTTCGCCGCAATTCAGACTGAAGGTGTTGCACGACAAGATCCTTCTCATGACTTTCGTCAGCGGACTGTTGTAAACTTTGCTGCAGGCAATCAATCATCCGGTGTGCGTGACTGAGTGCGTCTTTGTTGGCCTGTGACTGTGCATTGTGTGCGGTTACAGCTGACTGCTCAGGGAGATTCACAGGTTCAGGACTACCCTGCAGTGTTTGGAGCGGTAATGGCGCTAGAGCTAGCGGTGTGGCATCTGCGCGTTCTGCCATGCTGTACGGAATGTGTGAAGAGGCACTAGTACCTTGCTCTACCTGCTCCGTGCGCTGTGTACCGGTACTTACTGAGTCTGACACTAAAACTGAGTTTTTGCCAACTCCTTGAAGTCGCTCTACTGTCCTACCGCTTGTAGAACGGGACTTGACTGTACGTGGGTCGCAGACACTATCTGCACTCAGGTCTATCAAGTCCGGGTCACTAGTTTGCCCTGACTGTACGGATTTAGCAGGGTACAACACGCTCACCTCATCGCTGCCATTTGCAGCTGTGGGCGCTTGCATTTCAGATCGTCGCTCTTCCTCGAACACTTCCTCTCTCATCGCGGGCGATGAAGACTTCGGGGTGCCAGAGCGTCTGGACGCCCTCTCGAGATTCAAGCTGGCCAGGTCAGCCTCCGCCTCTGCGACCCTCTTTCTCGCTTCTAGCAGGGCGCACCTTGCTTCCATCACTGATGGCGCACTTCCTGACGTGCGGCTTGATGCGAGCGACGGTGTCTGCCTGCTGAAGCTAGTTCTTGGACTGGTCGCACTCTCTTCGTCCTCAAACCCCAGTCGCCTGGGAGCAAATCCCTTGGTTGAACGAGCACTCGTTCTTTGTTCCTCCGCCATTCGCGATCCGGCTCGAAGGACCAATGTTTGCGCCGGTATTCTCACTCACAACACAGAGTCTGAGGTTTATAGAATATTATCACTAGGAGAAGACTGTATCCATTGCAAACTGATTGCAATGCTTCAAAAAGGCTAGCTACTACCTGGCAGTAACAGAAACAGCCAAAGACAAAGAACCTAACAACTGCACCAGCAAGCTCTTTCCTTGCACTGCCTACAAATACATCAAAATCAAGCAGCAAAATGCAAATCCACACGCATGTTTGCCGGAACTGAACCTCCATAGCGCAGCTGATCATTGCGGCTGCACGAGACGACCTTCCCGCCACAGTGGGGCAAAGAACTATGCATGGCACTAGCAATGAATGCATGCAGCAGTGATGAATAGGGACATCAACAAGACACAACACACAGTACTCAGTAGTCATGAGCAGGCTGAGGTAACTGAGGGCCGGGGAACAGTACAGACATGTGCACAACAGCACCTAGGTTTACTACTACCCAAGGTTATTCATGTCTTGGTCTAAACTGAGCAAGTTACTAGTGGAGATCTGTGGGGTGACTTGGTCGTACCAACAACATCTACCATCACGGTGGAAAGATTGTACTCTAAAATATAATCAATTTTAGGGATTGGGGAAGTGTGTGTTGCACCCTACATGGGAGCTCGCGGTTTTCCTGCTGATTTGAATTCTCACTTGACTGACTCTCGACTGCCATCCAGAGCACACGAGAAGTCCATCGAACTGTCCACTCGGCAAACCTGCAAGGAAGCACCACTCCCTGCTCAATACACAGTGTTTCGGGGAATTCACCCCTCATCAATTGAGCTTGAGTAGGCTGAGGAAGATTGTGCCTGAAGAGCACCACTTATATACTGCTCTCCAGGCACACACATCACCAGGGATACAAACTTACAGAGACGCTCCATTTCCAGCGCAGGAAAGCCACGAGCTCTCATCTAGGGAGCAACACACAGTTCCCCAACTATCGCCGAAGTCGCACTACACTTTTCTTCACATTTAGGGATTGGGTTGCTTTTGGTTCTTGTACTGCGGTGATAGCATTGTCATCAATCTGTTGTTGCTGCCGCTCTATTCATTCTGTTGTCTCCCTGTCCATTCTGTTGTGTCTTTGTTTATTCTGTTGTGTCCCTGTTCATTCTGTATCTTCCTGTTAATTCCGCAATCTTACAGAGAAGGGGCCAAGGCGAGAGGTAGAATTCGCTGGACAGCTATCAGTTTTTGGAGCGTGGTCTTCACAAGCATCGAAGTTCACGATCGATATCACATACTCCTGTTCAACAAGGTATGTTTGATATATCCCTAAGATTATACCGTCTTGAAAGAATCATTGGGTAAATTTTCAATGGTGATAGGGGGGGGGGGGGGTGGAGGGTTGATATAGGCGGGGGGGGGGGGGGGGGGGACTGTCTTTGTTGTGTCCCTGTCCTTTCTGTTGTCTCCCTATCCATTCTGTTGTCAACCTGTTTATTCTGTTGTCTCCCTGTATATTTTGTTGTGTTACAGAGAACTGAGCGACCAAGGAGAGAGGTAGAATTCGCACGGAAGCTGTCCATTTTCAGACGGTGGTCTTCACAGGCCTCGTATTTCACGGTCGATACCACAGACTTCTGTTTAAAAAGGTATGTTTGATATGGCTCTTAGATGTACTGTTCAAAAATATTATTACAAGTTGATGCCCTCACAGCCCCAAAAAGGCGAGCCTGGAAGGATATACTTCAGGCTCATTACAAACATCTTGAAAGTTTTTGTCTTCACAAGTATACTTTCAAGCCTTCTCATCAGGTGAAATACAGGCAAGGGAAAAGGAACAGGAACAGTGGATTAAATACAGTAAGAAGGTGGTAAAACAGCGCAAAAAGAAAGAAAGAAAGAAAGAAGATAGCTAAAGTAAACAGCGAAAATTGCAATAATGACACAAAGGTGCAAATGCGAGAAAACTCAATAAGCGCGACATGTAGTGCGACAACAAGAGACAACCACTGGACATACATGTAACTAACGAGGTTTTGACGACCTACCTAACAGCCTGAGTGTGAATTTGATTTGTTTCTGCTTGCAAAGGTTGGGTTTCCTTGTGTGGATGTATACAGCTTCCAAAACATTCAGCAATCTAGCACTGCGTACACGTGACACAATCGAAAAACAATCATCCGAATACACAGCACGACAATCAGGATGCTCAAACAAATGACTAGCAATGGACGACTCATACTTATCAGAACTAACATCAGAACAATCAGCATGTGCGGTGGACACATCCGATTTCACATGGCTAGTCGAGTGGACCCTAGCCGTTGCCTCTGTCTGTGCTTTAGTCGCTGCCATCGCCGCCGTTGCCGATCTTGTCATTCTTCTGGTTGATGCGGTTCCTGTCACTGCCACGCACGTAGGTGTCTTGTCCGGTTGTTTTTCTGGTGGTCTAGTTAATTGTGAGGTGACGTTGCTTGGTGTTGATGCCGCTGCGTTGGACCATCTTGTACCAGGATGATTCTTTACTGGACGTCCCCTCCAATGTGAGAGCCGATATGTAGGTAGGACTCTTCAACATCTGGACGCACGCATCCGACAACACGCACCGCTACACCTTATTCCACAACACGCACGATCCACTCGACCACGGAGGGGACGTCCAGCAAAGAATCATCCTGGTACAAGATGGTCCAACGCAGCGGCATCAACACCAAGCAACGTCACCTCACAATTAACTAGACCACCAGAAAAACAACCGGACAAGACACCTACGTGCGTGGCAGTGACAGGAACCGCATCAACCAGAAGAATGACAAGATCGGCAACGGCGGCGATGGCAGCGACTAAAGCACAGACAGAGGCAACGGCTAGGGTCCACTCGACTAGCCATGTGAAATTGGATGTGTCCACCGCACATGCTGATTGTTCTGATGTTAGTTCTGATAAGTATGAGTCGTCCATTGCTAGTCATTTGTTTGAGCATCCTGATTGTCGTGCTGTGTATTCGGATGATTGTTTTTCGATTGTGTCACGTGTACGCAGTGCTAGATTGCTGAACGTTTTGGAAGCTGTATACATCCACACAAGGAAACCCAACCTTTGCAAGCAGAAACAAATCAAATTCACACTTAGGCTGTTAGGTAGGTCGCCAAAACCTCGTTAGTTACATGTATGTCCAGTGGTTGTCTCTTGTTGTCGCACTACATGTCGCGCTTATTGAGTTTTCTCGCATTTGCACCTTTGTGTCATTATTGCAATTTTCGCTGTTTACTTTAGCTATCTTCTTTCTTTCTTTCTTTCTTTTTGCGCTGTTTTACCACCTTCTTACTGTATTTAATCCACTGTTCCTGTTCCTTTTCCCTTGCCTGTATTTCACCTGATGAGAAGGCTTGAAAGTATACTTGTGAAGACAAAAACTTTCAAGATGTTTGTAATGAGCCTGAAGTGTGTCCTTTTTATGAGTATTATCGCATTTTTGTCTCAGAGGAAACTGGAAGGATATAATTGCTTTTCTTAATCGCGATGGGTAACTATTTGATGTGTGTGGCGCTTGCGCCAAACCACTTTACTAAGTTACTATGTGCCTGGTAAGGGAATGAAACCTGATCCCTGAAAAGATCATTGTTGCTGGAATTATTCTAAGTACGAAATGTGATATTTTTATTGCTTGTTGCAATGAATTTGTGCACGTTTTCTTTATATCTCGAGTTACAAAACGCATTGTTTGAACTGTTCTGTGGCCAGTAAGGTGTCGCTTCCATTAACGCCTATTTGTGCCTTTCTTTTGTTTTTAATTTTACCAGCACACAGGAAATTGGTCACTCGTTGAAGGAGTTTCTTCACGTAAACCTGGGGTTAGCAGGAGTGGATTCATCTTGTCTTTGGCGATTATCTGCCGATATCTGTGCTCTCTATCCATTAAGGTATGTTTCTGTTCTTGCCGGGGTGCTCTACCTCGAATACATCACAATTTACATGTAGGTACTTCCTACGTAAACAAATAGATACTTTGTGATGGATTACGATGGATATGAAAACAATTGGGACAGGTCAAGAACAATTTGCGTGGACTGGAAATCACTCGTCGGAGGTGGTTCACCCGACACAGGGTCTATACAAGAGGAACTGTTGGTGGTGTGACCTGACACTTCATTTTGCGTCGCAATTGCACGACGCATATTTTGCTCTCAAGCTGCGTAATGCGTGGTGGCGAATATACTTAAGGCCACCAGGGAGTCGTGGAAATATTTATGATTTCCTGATTTCTTCCAATCTCTAGTATTTTTTGAAAGGAGTAGTAAAGGCACTAGCAAGTCACTTCAACTTTCCGTAGCCACGAGAAGTCGGACTTCAGAATTCTAAAGAATGCATTGTCGTCAATGTTCAAATCTGGGCTTTTGCGCAGGTTGAACAAGTGCTTCAATTCAGAATCCTTTCATTTCACCGTGGCATGCCCAATCACTATCATCCCCCTCTCCCACCACCCGGCCCCTCCCACTACCCTTCTCCAAACGAACAAATGTCGGACCACCGAGCTCTACACTTCCCCTCTCCCATTCAAAACGGCTGATCACTATGTCCCCTCTCTCCCCCCCCCCCTTCCCCAACACCCCTCTCCACACAAGACAAATCTGAAGGGAACCCTGTCGGACCACTATGCCCCCCCCCCCCCCCCCCACTCTCCACCACCGCTCTCCACACGAAAGGAGTTCCATCGCTATCCCCCCCCCCCCTCCTACCACCCCTTGTTCATACAAGACAAGTTTTAACAATGGCTCCGCCCCTCCCCCCCCCCCCACCACTGCTCACCCCACCCTTCTCCATAAAGGACAAGTCATATCACTACCCCCCCCCCCCCCCCACCGCTCTAATCATATCACTACCCCACTCCTCCCCCCCCCCCACCCTCTTCACACAAGACAAGTCAGGTCACTATGTGCCATCCCTCCCCCCTACCCGTTCTTCATACAAGACATGGCTGGTTACACCCTCCCCCCCCCCCCCCTTTCCCCTCACACCATACCCCTCTTCATATAAGAAAAGTCTGATCACTAAAAAAATTGACTGTCACCACCAGGACTCGAACCAGGGACCCTCGCTTGTAGCCAGCGATGCTCTCACCACTGAGCTATGGTGTAGTCGTCATCCCAGCAGAGGCCGTTCAACATTTTCTTCAGACTTCGTAACTCACACTTCCTGTGAATCCACACAGGCGGGTGGGACGCAGCCCTCGCTGTAACCCACACACTTCACGTACAAACTAGCATGCGGGGAGCCCCAAGTCATAAAATATTAACTGGTTTGAGGGAAAGAGACAAACGGGAAAAGTCTGAAGAAAAAATTGACTGTCACCACCAGGACTCGAACCAGGGACCTTCGCTTGTAGCCAGCGATGCTCTCACCACTGAGCTATGGTGTAGTCGTCATCCCAGCAGAGGCCGTTCAACATTTTCTTCAGACTTCGTAACTCACACTTCCTGTGAATCCACACAGGCGGGTGGGACGCAGCCCTCACTGTAACCCACACACTTCACGTACAAACTAGCACGCGGGGAGCCCCAAGTCATAAAATATTAACTGGTTTGAGGGAAAGAGACAAACGGGAAAAGTCTGAATAAAAAATTGACTGTCACCACCAGGACTCGAACCAGGGACCCTCGCTTGTAGCCAGCGATCCTCTCACCACTGAGCTATGGTGTAGTCGTCATCCCAGCAGAGGCCGTTCAACATTTTCTTCAGACTTCGTAACTCACACTTCCTGTGAATCCACACAGGCGGGTGGGACGCAGCCCTCACTGTAACCCACACACTTCACGTACGAACTAGCATGCGGGGAGCCCCAAGTCATAAAATATAATATAAATTAAAAATATTTGAACAAACGGCGAGGAGACAACAATTTGATAACCGCAATCAGTAATACAAGCTGGATCGACATTTGTGTACACTGTATTCATGTATTGTAAAACTGTGGAGACAATGTGCAATAAAACGATGAAAAATTTTTACAATACATGAATACAGTGTACACAAATGTCGATCCAGCTTGTATTACTGATTGCGGTTATTAAATTAAAAATAATAATTTTATTTTTTTGCTAGTTTGTACGTGAAGTGTGTGGGTACAGTGAGGGCTGCGTCCCACCCGCCTGTGTGGATTCACAGGAAGTGTGAGTTACGAAGTCTGAGGAAAACGTTGAACGGTCTCTGCTTGGATGACGACTACACCATAGCTCAGTGGTTAGAGCATCGCTGGCTACAAGCGAGGGTCCCTGGTTCGAGTCCTGGTGGTGACGGTCAATTTTTTCTTCAGACTTTTCCCGTTTGTCTCTTTCCCTCAAAACCAGTTAATATTTTAAAATAAATTTTATAATTAAAAAAAAATGATTTTGAGACGTTTGAACAATTTAGTGCCGCGATCCAACTTTCGAGCGCCATATCTTTATCATCGTTTCTCCTATTGCAAAAGCAATTACACCATTGGAAAGCTTGGAGCTTCCTCTTTGATCTACATATTTCGACATTTGCAGCAGGACTAAAATCGATGGAGTTACGACAGTTTAACGGTACGTACACAATATCAGTCGTTAATGACTGATGCACCGCTAAGGGTTAATAATTAAGGATTAATTA